TCCCCCTTGCTTGTTTCCTTACTTTCCCCTTGACACACTTTGGTGTATCACGGCCCTCTCTGACTCATATTAGGAAGTTTTTCCAATAAAGGCTGTTAGGCTAGTCTCCAGGGAGGGTGGGTGACGGTCACAACCACGCATTATGGGTATAAAATACTTGACTGCAAGATTAACAGTGCATCAATCTTCACAAGAAGCTTACACCCTTTAGTGGCGCTAAGCTATGAAGACCAATGCAGACAAGTAGGAAAAAAACAAAACAAAAAAACAGCTTTATCCACCAGGCTATCAGGATGTTGAACTCTACCCACTACCTCCCCACTATGCCCCCTGCCCCTGGATTGTAATTCCACCCACTGCCCATTAACGGAGAACTAATGTTTTTTTCAACCTGGGCCCTATTTTCCGATCTACTTTTGTCTAAATGAGTGATAGGATGTTCAATATTTGACATTTCTCCAGTATGAAGCTAGGGCTGACCTGCCTGCAGCCCGTGAGCGCATGCTATATTAAATAATAGGACACTCAGACAGCGTCAAACAACGTCAAAATACGTTCACTAAAAGTGCTTTTGTTTTAACACAGATAGGCTCGGATTGTTAGTATAATTATCCAACAACATAACGCAAAGGAGAAATGAGGGTTGTCCGCTCTTCAGTTTCAATGAGCTCTGCATCCGTGTAATTCCGTGTACTCAGTTGGTCAAAATCGGGTAAAAATTCGGACATGTTTGTTGTGGCAAGTCAAAACACTCACTCAGAGAGTGAAAGTCTGGCTCTGAAATCTCAAGTCTCGCGAGATTTGAGTTGTTGCAGGAAGTTACCGCTGGAGTGACCTTACAAACGTGAGGAGTTACTCTGTTTGGAGTAGTCATGGCTGAATTTTTACCCGATTTTGACCAACTGGATCTGGATGAGCCATTTGAATTTGATGACCGCCCGTATTTATTTGAACACGGAGTACATGGACGTACACGGATGCAGAGCTCATTGAAACTGAAGAGTGGACGAGGAGAGAAAGGGAGCAGTGTTACTTCCGTAGCACATATACTAAAAACATGTCCGAATCCAGCTAAAGGTAACGTAAACACAGCCGTCATTTCTCCTTTCCATTATGTTGTCCGATAATTATACTAACAATCTGAGCCTATCTGTGTGGAAAAAAATTCACTTTTAGTGGACATATTTTGACATTGTTTGATGCTGTCTGAGTGCCCTATTATTTAATATATCGAGCATTAATGGGCTGCAGGCAGGTCAGCCCTAGCTTCATACTGGAGAAATGTCAAATATTGAACATCCTATCACTCATTTAGACAAAAGTAGGGCTCAGGTTGAAAAAAACATTAGTTCCCCTTTAAGACTACCTCTGCTGTCTTGCACATAGACTCACTACATCTGCATCCCAGTGTTCTGTCTGTCTTATACACTGTGCACTTTACTTCACTTTACTTTTACCATTTGCACCACCCCATATCTGCTGCTGTTGGTCATTTGCACTATAGGTTGCTCTAACATTCACCTTGATCACCTTGATTGTACATAGGTTCAGAGTATCTTCTAGAGTGTCTCATGTTTTAGTTATACTGTATAGTTTTATCTTTATTCTTACTTGTATACTGTTTTTGGTTTTTATTGCATTATTATTATTATTATTCCCTGTTTCCTCGCTCTCACACATTTGTGGTTTTGAATGAAATGTCTCATCACCTATTGAATGGTTCCCTTCAGGATGTATTGTAATCATTTAGGCTATTCCCTGACTTTTCCTCGTGTCATCATCATGCAAGATTTTCATTTGCCCAGTACTTTGTATGATACATTCTTGCCACTATCCCCTAACAGGATCAATGCACACCATTGCATGTCAATATTTTACTGCTTTTACAGGTAAAAGCTCAAAAAAGAGAATGTAGAAAAGCAGAATGCAGGTGGCGAAAAACCAAACTCCAGGTTCATTATGACATCTATAAGGAAAGTCTGCACATCTATAACTTGGAGCTAAAAAGGGCGCGGCAGTCCTTTTTCTTTGAGATTATCAACAAAAATAACAACAACGCACGGACTTTATTTACTGTTGTTGACAGACTAACAAACCCATCAGCGTCAGTCCCTCCTGAACTGCTATCCACCAAGGCATGCAATGACTTTGCTTCTTTTTTCACAGACAAGATTTTAAAGATAAGACAGACAGTCTGTAACTCCAACACAGTGGCTACTTCATCTGTGCCTTATAAGACTACTCCAGTTAATTTGGCACTTTTTCACCCATTAAATTATGCTACTTTGACAGACATATTTAGAAACCTTAGGTCCACTACCTGCTGCCTTGACACTCTGCCTACAAGCTTTTTTAAAGATGTTTTTAACTGCATAGCATCAGATATACTACAGATAGTCAACTGTTCTCTTCAATCAGGCCTTTTTCCAACGGCCCTGAAGACCGCAGTCATTAAACCTCCCTTATAAAAGCCTAATCTGGATGCCTCAGTAATATATAACTACAGGCCCATATCAAACCTACCATTTTTAGGAAAGATCATTGAAAAGATTGTTTTTCAGCAACTTAACACCTTCTTGGAGCAAAACAATTCCTTTGATGACTTTCAGTTAAATGCTAAATTGGTTTAAATCTTATTTACAAGACAGGGATTTCTTTGTGTCACTTGGCAATTATGAATCTGTGCAAACAAAAATTACATGTGGAGTTCCTGAAGGGTCCATTCTTGGGCCTCTTCTGTTCAACATCTATATGCTCCCTCTTGCTCAGATTATGGAATATCATAACATCTCCTACCATACTTATGCAGATAACAGTGTCACCAGATGACTACAGTCCCCTACATCTGCTAAATAAGTGCATTGACGAAATCAATACATGGATGTGCCAGAATTTTCTACAACTAAACACAGACAAAACTGAGATAGTTGTTTTTGGCCCCAAAGAACAAAGATCAATAGTCAGTGCTCACCTTGACGCCATGACACTAAAACCTACAAATCAAGCCAGAAATCTTGGTGTAGTTCTGGACTCAGACCTAAATTTCAATAGTCACATTAAGACAATTACTAAATCAGCCTACTACCGCCTCAGATCATCTGGAAAAGGTTTACTCAGTGTTCCCAGGATCAAAACCAAACAAGGTGAAGCAGCCTTTAGTTTCTATGCTCCCCGCCTGTGGAACAAACTTCCAGGATATCTGAGGTCGGCTGAAACTGTCAACTCATTTAAATCAGGGCTTAGTTTACTGCAGCTTACCAGTGAACTAGATATGTAACTTATTGTTAGGATAATCTGTAGCTATTGTTTTTATATTTGTCTGCTGTTGCTTTTGCTTTATGTTTGCTTTTTAAATGCATTTTCTGCACTGTTTTTAACTATTTATTGTCTTGCTTTTAGCTCTTGTTTTTAATGATCTATTGTTTTTAATGTATTTCTCTTCTAAAGCACATTGAATTGCCTTGTATATGAATGGTGTTATATAAATAAAATTACCTTGTCTTGCCTTGCTTTGCTACTATTGCATTCAATGAGTACTCCTGAACAACCTTACCTCAAAAACCTTGGAGCTATTTGCCTGGTAAAAGTCACAGTCACTGTGTTCACTGGGAGTGACACCTGTGAAGAGAGAAGAAATGGAAATGAGGAATTTTGACTTTGTGTCATGAGTAGATAATGGCAGTAGTATAGCATGGTAGCATATGCTAATGGAGTGCCAATTTGTCAAGGGATTTCATCCCTGTGTGAGCTCATGTACATGCATTTATTGGTCTTACTTGTTTGACCCTCCAGCACATATCCTGCGTTCACTTGGCCCTGTCTCAGTGCAGCTGCACTGACACTACTTATCTGGCTCTGTGTCCTCACTCTTCTGCTACACACAAACATGAATGACAACAGAGAATTTTACTGTATGTGAAAACATTTAGAAGCACATGGTGTTATGTAGAGGTTGAATAACAAAGTAGTGACAAAATATTTATAATTTCTGTGGCTTCTTACCTCATTTCATCTTGGTAGTTGGGTTCTGAAGAGGATTGGAAGATAACAATTACATTAATGTAAAAGTGACATACATAATTATGTGCTGTGTCGGTGGTTTGATTTCATTTAGAATGTTGGGCATGCAGTACAGCGTAAGCTGTGTCAGACTGATATGATTAGGGCCTTACGTTTTTCTTTCCTGCCTTTGTAGCAGAAGATTATTCCAATGATGAGCAAAACCAGCAAAGCAAAACCTCCAATGGACACGACCACAGCTATCAGCACGGTCCAGTCAGGAGGTTTGGGAACTGTTGCAGAGGCGACATCCAGCAGAGCTTATTATCCGACTGAACAGACAAATTGAAATTACCCAACTGGGGGAAAGAAGCATATTCACTTTATGTTAAACAGTGTTGAGCAAGTTACTCTCAAACTGTAATGTATTACATATTACTAGTTACCTTCATCTAAAAGTAATGTTACACAATATTACGCTCTGAGTAGAGTCAGAAGTTACTACTTTAGGGTTACTTTGACCAAAATAAGCTCACAAGAAGTAAGGTTTATTTTAAATGGATGAGGGTCATGTTGATTCACAGCAGGTAATCAAAGCACAGAAACTCCGGTTTATTACAGTTCATTTCAAATCCAGTGCTGCACAGGTCTGACCCATTCATGCATTCACATACAGTAGTTACCACACCACAACAGGCGTTGGCAAGGTAATGTTAGAGACATGGAAGAGGAGAGCAAGTGTAACGTTACAAACGCAACCCCGGAGTTTAAAACTCAACCGGAGTCAGTGATGACTGATGAGTTTTAGAATAAGGTTACAGTGCTAACGTTAGATAGTAGCATTAATGTTATTAGTAAGTGGAAACGCAAAAGGAAGATAGCGTTAATGTTTCAGAGACTACGCTACAGTAGGCTAATGTTAGCCATTAGCAACCAGATGCTGTGTTGTCATAATGTTATGAACTGAACTTATTTATTTGCCATTTTTATGCGCAGCACAAAAATGAAATGACATTTCACATACCCCAGGCAAGAAGAAACAAAACATTTAAAAACAATTTGTGCAACATATAAGAAAGAACATATGGTGCAATAGTAAGATGAAAAGGGTCGATATTTCACAGTCAAAAACTCCACATCCTGAGAGCAGACCTGGGAATCCCCTTCACATCACAGCACCATGAATTGTTTACTGCCGGAGCTTACCAGATGATGCAGCCTCCCTGTCTGCTCTATGTAGTGTTAGCCCCGTTAGCTCAACACCGGAGTCTGATATGTCACCATTCATCCATGTCTCAGTGAACACAAGGACGCAGCAGTCCCTCACTGCTCAGTGAGTGGATCTCCACAGTCGGATGTATGTCGCATGCTGGTTTGATGGGGTTAGCACTTAGCCTAGAGCTCTTAGCCAAGAGCTAACCCCTCCACGCTTCCCCCGCTCCCACGTTCTGTCACAGCGCTGCCGGCGTCTCCCAGTCGGGACAGCTCCAGGCGAAACCACGGTCATCTCAGGGCTAGCTCGACGTAGCAGACCAAGCTTGCTACACATCCTGAGCTCTCTTGGTTGTAGCGTTAGATCTCTGCAGCGGTTTCTAATGTCTGTTAGAAACTCGCAACTGTATTGCACTGAAGAATTTACTTCTTGTTGTACCGTGTCTATAGTTTATATCCACAAGCATCCCTGTCACTAGTTTATATCCACAAGCGTCCCTGTTACTACCTGTACTACCTTATTTGTTGTCTCACAAAGTAAGATGTCATTTTTCAAAAATTCTCTTACTAAAAAAATATTTCCTCTTACATCGTTTATTGTATCGACTTCAAACATGCACACATGACGGACCAAGCCCTGCTAAACAATTCCTCTGAACAACTTTGTCATTACTCGAACGGTTTGGATTTTATGCCCTCTTAAAGGTGACATGTCACAAAACCTCTTGACAATTTTTGCACCACCTAGACACACTAAAATGGCTGTTGCGCCCTGTAGGAATGACATAGAAAGATCAAACCAAACCTGGCTTGTTCATCTCATCGAGACCCACCTCTGACCTAAACCCAACAGGAAGTGAGCTATTTCCCTTTCAAAGTAAGATTTCGCCTCAAAAATGCTCTTTTTAAAAATTTCTTAAAAAATCATCTCCTCCTACACCATTTATCGTATGGGCTTCAAACTCGCACACATGACAGATCAACTCGTCCTAATCAGATATTCTGTATAACTTTGTCATTACTCGAATGGTTTGGATTTTATGGCGTCTTACAGGTGATGTCTTACAAAACCTCCGATTTTCGTACCACCTATACATACTAAAATGCCCGCCGCGACCCGTATGAATGTCGTAGAAAGACAAAACCAAAACTGGCTTGTTCATCTCATCGAGACCTACAAATCATGCACAACAACCCCTGACCTAAATCCAACAGGAAGTGAGCTATTTGCCCTTTCAAAGTAAGATGTCATTTTTCAAAAATTCTCTTACTAAAAAATATTTCCTACTACACCGTTTATCGTATCGACTTCAAACATGCACACATGACAGACCAAGCCCTGCTAAACAATTCCTCTGAACAACTTTGTCATTACTTGATTCCTCTTGACAATTTTTGCAACACCTAGACACACTAAAATAGCTGCTGCGCCCTGTAGGAATGACATAGAAAGATCAAACCAAACCTGGCTTCTTTGTCTCCTCGAGACCTACAAATCACTCATTGACACCACTGACCTAAATCCAAAAGGAAATGAGCTAGTGCCTCTGAAAGTAACATGAGCAAATGTGTCAGCTGTGAGCTAGACATTGTAAACTTGCGACTAAGATCGCTTTTTTGTCTCCACAAACATGAAAGCTATATATGTCTGCATTCAGAACGACTGTATCTCTCTGGTGATAGCTTCAGATTGACAATTGGACCCATGGTTTGGGAGCAGGAAGGACTAGTTTGAGAAATTTGAAAGCCATCTTCAAGTTCTTGGCCTCTCCCCCTTCCTCTCACTCAACTACATGCTGTCATTAATTAGCATAACAATGGCTTCACTCTGACAGACACAAGCCTGTGTGTGTGTGTGGTCACACACACCTGACAGGATAACATTGACCAAACTGACCAGCTCATGTGTCTCATTCCTACATTTTCCTAAATAAATGCCTGATAGCAAAAACATGTAAATACAAGATTTCCAGGTCAAACTCTTTTGCCTTATTTAGAATCGGAATCAAATCTGTAGCTAAAAATGTGCTGCAGCAGTATACGATCAAATACATGTAGTCCTGCTCAGTTTCTCCATTGAAATTAACTAGTGTCTGCCTGCTGTTACATCAGGAAAGTATACACATCCTAGAGGAAATGTTACACTCCAAAATTACAAGCTCCTTTGTTTAATCACCACTTTAGTCTTTGCAAAAATCCTTTTCTTTTATGATTTACTCTCCTTTATAATTCATGTTTTGTCCATGTTAATATTTGTTATCCTGTTAAAATGTATATTATGTATTTATATATTCATGTACTTACATCACAATGTGTTACACAACAAAGCAGGAGTACTGTCACCACAGACCTTTGTTTTTTACAGTACATGGGGAACACTTCAATTCTTAACAGTATGACAGACACCATGTTGCTGTTAACATTATATAATTACTTAATCATGACAATGTATTTCATTTCAATGTGGATGTTTTGGACAAGACATTTTGTTCCCATAGCTGACATATCACAGGTACATTTTGGTTAATACATCGGTTGAAAATTAAATACATATTGTAATGTACTGTAATATAAAGTCCATCTATTGCCAAAAATGACCTTGCGTTCTCTTGACATTGCTTGTTTTATCGACATTTTGACTCTTACGAATAATTCGCACTGTCTATGTGAGCCCGAGGTCCCGTTCATCGCTGCTTGCAGCTTTAATGTCACTTACTTTTACACTATATTTATTTATTTTAGACTATATTTTTTGTGAAATATCTTGAAAGCACATTAACAATTAAGCCTACTTTTAAACCATATTTTCACTTAAATTACTTGAAAGTACCATGTCAGTTGAAGTTGAAGTCGTTTTTTTCCGCTGTGAGGGTCCTAAGGACAGAGGGATGTCTGTAAAACCCTGTGAGGCAAATTGTGATTTGTGATATTGGGCTTTATAAATAAAATTGATTGATTGATTGATTGATTGATTGAAGTGACTGAAGTAGGCCCAATGCTCGACTTCATTTCTAAAATTTTGTCCGCGTATGGCCAGAGCCATCAGGATCTGACAGGTTCCTACAGGTTCTGACATATTCTGAGGCACCATACATATGCAGTGTCTTTAACCACCTGGAAAATGCAAGGTCGGAAGCTGGGCATTACTTTACTCTTGTGCATACTCTGCACCAACTTTCAAGTGCGCGGAGGCAGGTTACATCTGAGGTTGTTAAGCGACCATAACCAGCACTGTATCATAGCCTACTGTGCACAGAGCTGATCCTCTTCCAGGTGTTGTTTTAGTGTGTATTAGGCCAAAAATATGAAAAAAAAAAAAATCAAAAAAATGTCCATGGGATAGATGTAAAGCTCTGGTAGCCCTGCACTAAAATGATAAACTTCTTCTCCATTTTTATCACAGACTGATGGGAAGACGGGAAAGACATTTGCTGGCTGTGGTTGGTCATTGTCACAGGACATGCAGTGTGTGCTGCTGTGTTTCAAAACTCTAACTCATACAGCTGTCTTGCCCTGAAAAATAGGAGCTCAGGCATGGTAAATGGACCACCATAGGTTTCACCCTTTTCTCTATATTTAGAAAGTAATATTTGATTGTTTTGTAAAGGCTCTATATGTAAAAAATGTAAGGTCTTACAAGTCATCAAGTCAAAATTCAACTTGTCTCTGTCTTGGGACCAAATACCTACAAAACTGATGACATTCTTATAGCACCCCTACAGTGTAGCAGTAGACTTAATTGATACTACTGCCAGTGGCCAACCAAAGAACCACATTTTCACATCCTATACTTGCATGTAATTAATGGGCAACTAACTAATCAGAAAAAAACTGTTGGATTATTCTAACCTGGAAGAGTTCAGAAAAAGAAAGACTGGGAAAAGGCTTTGTGCCAGCAGACACACTGGGTGCTTTCTGAATTGCATACTTGTTCTTTTTACTTTTAGTAGGTACTGCATCTGCCCTTAAAAAGAACGTACTGTTGCATGTAGTATGCACACAATTGGGGCACACTACTTTCTCATAACATTATGCCCTGAACTTTTACCTTTTTGCTTTTTTATCTGTTACCTTGGAGAAAAACATATGCCACTTACTGAATTGCCAGAGATGAAGATCAACCCGGAGAGCTCTGCTGTTATTTTGCACTGTGTGTAGTTTGAAGTTATAACTGCACAGACTGTAGATTCTAACATATTCTATTTGTGACAGTGAAATTATATCTGCAGTTCTCTGTCGTTGTCATTTTTATAGTTATGTCCTATTGTTGTTAGTGATATTTGTGATTATTTTGTTTACTTGAATAATTAATATTCCTGTACTGCTAATCGTTGCTTGAATGCACTGTTATCCATGTCATGCCATTGCGACCTCTGCAGCTGTCAATCAGCTATCAAACAGCTGTCATCTGTTTGCGGCTCACTTGATGTGACATATCGTCCACTGCGCAGAGGATTGTGGGTCAGAACAGCCAGAAAAGCATGCTGGCTTGCATACTGCAAAATCAGACTGGATGTAGTAGAACATCCTGGTATTTTTGGCATTCTGCAATTGACATGTATTGGGACATACTAAATCTTTTACTGGCATACTATATAGTATGGTAGTATGGTAGTATGAGTGTTGGAACGCACAGACTGAGATTAAAAGAAAGAAAAAATTGTGGAAGATTTTCTTACCAACCACCAAGAACACAGAGTTGGATTCTGGGCTTGGTAGTGTCGGCAGGGTTGCCTGACACTCCACTGTCATGTTGCTGACTGCCTGAAACTTCAAGACAGTGGTGGAGTTGAAAACATCCCCATCAACCACGTTTGTGGTGTTGTACAGGTTTTTGTCCACAGCTTGATCATTCTGGGTCCAGGTGACAGTGGGTCTGGGGAACCAGGCAGATATTATACACTGGAACTCCACCTGTTGGTCCTGCACTGCCGTCACATTTCCTCCCATGATGTTAACTGTACCGCTCTCTGAGTAATAAAGACAGGGACAGAGGAGAGGTGAAGTTCTTTAATTACTCTGACCCAATGGTCAGCTTAGTCATTGAGTGATGAGAACACATAGTGTCCCAAATATGTTGTTCAGTGCTCCATGCTAACATGGGGAACTGATAGTAAATAGCTGAAAAATAAGAAAAATAAATAATCTTGAAAGTTAAAAGTTAAACCATCATATACACTATACTAAGATAGGCACACAGATAATTTTCATTCCTGACATCATGTAAACCAATGAGGCAAACTTTTTTTTATTTATTTTTTTTAAAAGTATGCTTTTATAATGAGACTTTATAACTGAGTGTTTCTCAAATCGCATACTTCTACACCAAATGCTAAGTGCTTTCACATAGTATGGGAAAATGCAGTGTACTACTGGCACACTCAAAACGGTCCAAAAGTTGGGTGTGGAATGATGGACACTTCTCATCCTCAACAGTCACCATCTCTGTGACATAGCAGAAGCTACATCACAAACTTCTCAACTTTTGACATGGCTGCTGGGGACAACAAGGAGACTGTTATACATGTTTTTTGCACTAAGTACCAAAACTGTCGTTGAATAGAGGACGGTCAGTGATGTTTGTTGGATCTTTAATGATTTGGTACCACACAAAAAAATGTGTGCTAACGTTAGCTTACTAGCTAACATGTGTCCAGCTCAACCTGATCTCACAGAAATACTTGAAATGACCACGACCTCTTAACACCGCATTCCATGGTGGCAGCACGTAATGGGTTGAAATTACGTGCTGCCACCACGAAAACAATGCCAATGTAAAGTCAATTAGGGTCCTCTCCCTTGTTGGATACACGGATTCCCTGATTCAATCACGTCACGTCAACCTCGTTTTCCTCTGTGATATCTTTAACATTCCTGTATACACACAAAAACACGGAAGTGTCCTTGATAACTCAACAATATGACAGATTAATGTCAAGGCCATAAAATATAATAAATGTATTTTGCCAGCTTTTGATAGCGTGGGGCTTTAAGAGCATTGTGCTGTGGGCGGATGGGGCGCGTTCCACTACTGTTTTGTAGCTGCTGTC